TGGGGGGGGGGGGAGAGGGGTCTGGTGCTTGACGTAATTTTTGTTACAATTTTGTAAATATTTGATGATTTCATAATTCAAGAAAGATGCTAAACCTCATTAATTGTTGCATTCCAGTATTCAATAGTTCCTCAATCTAGCTTGACCATCTAATCCCAATTTATCCCCTCCATATCGATTTAAATGAACTCACCAATCTCTCCAATCAACCTATTAATAACCTCAACCACACCTCGCCATGCAAATTTTCTTTTATTTTTTTACGTTCATTAAGAAATTTCATCTTTTGGCCATCAATTCACACTCTCCGTGATTATTACTTTATTTTCTATCAATTCGCACATTTTCGCATTCCATCTTTAATATGGAAATTTATCTCAATTTTCAAGACACACAAATTGAATCAATAAATTCCTCATTCGTTCTAGTCATTAGTTCGACTGTTCCCGTTATACTTGACAGACTTTTATGCTAGTATGAAAATGAGGCAGTCCAAAAAAATTAAAGACGCATTGAAGCATCGTCTAGTGACGCAACCTGAACACGCTTACATAGCAATAACACATAAAAGTATAAACGATGAACTTTTTTTTCTCCTCTCGTCTTAGACTTGAGGTAAATAAAATGAAATTGTAGCAATTGGCAATTAGATATTCAGAGCACATTTCTGTTGCCTCTTCCATGTATACACATTTTATATACTCATATCTATTCCTCCTGTCGCTTGAATGAGAAGATAAAAAAAAACATTTTATAATGCCGAAAATCCAGTTTTTGCTACTTTTTCTATTTTTTGTGTTGCTTCAGGAATCACTCACATTTTGCGGTAATTTTTTTTTTCAAACTTTAAATGTTGATGATGATGCAGACATGCAGAATTCTTTTTTTGTGTGTGCTTGATGCAGTCTTGGGAATTGTTTGGGAATGATGGACAACTTTGAATGGACGATAGGGTTCGAAATGGGGTTCAAAAGGGGGTTCAAAATTGCTTTCAGATTACCAGCTATCGAATATTGGAGGATCAGGATCATGACTTGAGATCATTAAGAGAGAGGAGCGGTTACCACTCACTAAACACGCTTTATTAGCTGGTTCAAAGGACCACATAGGGTACTCTGCTTTAGTCAAAGTCAAAATATATCAATTTTCGATTCTAGGTACAAGTAGTTCTAGAAACAAGCTTCTTTGCATCAAATCTCCTCCAATCACTGTACTCCGGGTACAAAAAAATCCAACTCCAAAATTGACGTCACTTATGAACCCCTCCAATAAGAATTTTCAGTTTTTTTCTTCCTCAACCCTCGAAAAGAAGCAAAAGAATCTTAAAGTAAATTGCAATTGAATGCAATTATGCGGAATGATGGTTTATGGTACTTACAGAAAATTACCTGACTTGAAAGAGAATTTTCTCTCAAAAAATTTACATTTTTATAGTGACTCGAAATGTATAAAAGAGGGGAAAGAGGATGGCATCATAAAAAATTATTTAATAATAAGATCGCTTTACTTATTTACCTGAACATGCTAGCTACAAACGTTCTACAAAAGCATGGAGTAATTGAATTTAAATTTTTAAGCCGGAACTATGCACAATAAATGTGTGGGTATGGTCGTGTTGTGCTCATATACGGTAGGGTTCATACTGCTTCTACAATTATGATTGCACCCCTTTTTACATTATGTATGTCTATGTGCTACATAATTTTTAATAATATTATCATTTGTGCTCATTGACAGAACCCGGTGTTTAGTGTGTCCAACGATGCGTAAACTTTATTTTTATTATTATTTTTTTTGACTACTTTAATTTCTGAAATCTCAGGAAGAGCAATAATTAAAGACCAACCGCATGTTCATGTTGGAATTCTTTACGTATACAGGAACAAGAATGCAATTTAAAATCAGAAAAATACAGAAAGAAATATTTTTATTTATAATTTAATTTATTTTCTTGCTCCTCAAAAAGCCGCACATGGAATTTTAAGTATTTTAATAAATACGACGACGACAATTTAAGAATGAAAGCGAGATGCTGGGGAGTTGAGGTTGTTTTGGTGGGATTTGAGACGCATTTTATTATTGGGATTAGGATTTAATTTTTCAAGATTTAAGGTTAGATTAGCATTATTCAGAGCTCAAGCTAGTAATTTTTCACTACGAAGGTGACACCTTTCAAGGAAGGGATCTGGAGCGTCCAAAAATTTAATTCCAGGCTAAATGACCTTAAAGACTGTCAAAACATTTCAAAAATTCTCAAAATTGAACCCTAGACAAACCATAAAGCCCCCAACTCTCCCCACAAAGCTACAGCCAAAATTCACACAATAAGAATGAGGAAAGTCAACTCAAAGAATCCTCATTTGCAGCATTGCGATGAAGAATTTAATTAAAATTAAAATAAGAGAATAAAAAAAAATTATAAATTCTGCGTTCACATGAGAAAAGTATACACAAACAATAAATCAACGTATGCCCATCATCTATCACATTAAGCACATTATATACGTGAATAAAACTGTGTTAATACCTGAGATAAGAAGTCAAGAAGAAGCCAGAAAGGCCACAAAAATTATTCACCGAGAGAGACAAACAAGCGTAAATGGTTAAAAATTTAAATAAGAAGTCGCGCGCGCGAAAAATTGAGTCGATGACTTCCAGCAAATTTCGATTTTTCATCGAGTTAATAAATTTTATTTGGAAGCTGTAATAAATTGTGTATTTTTTTCTGGTCATTTATTCCTTTTTATTGCCGATAACAAAATTAATCAGTTACAGGAGGCTGATTTGTAGAAAATCGACTTGTGGACGGTTCTTTATTCTCTTATTTCTTGCTAATTTTTCTGCTGCTACAGTGATAAAATGTTATGTATTTATCTTACCTACTTCTCATGAGGATAGCGATTATTATGCATAAAATATTCACATATATAAATTAGCATTATATAATCAAGTTTTGCAAGCACTGCTATAGACGAATAGTTTTGAATCAATAATGCTGTAATGGACTTTATTTACTCAATGTTGGAAATGGGATGGTTTTTTAATCATAACGTGGATAGTCAATTTTTAACGGTTGTTTGTAATTTAAATGCTTTTAAATGTCAATTAATATAATTTGCTTAGGAATTGTAGTTTAATTAAATGATGTGCGTAAATGATCGTAATATTTGCATTTTATAGGTTTGTAGTTTTAATTGAGGATTTAGATTATGTGATTAAAATAGAACTTTTAATCAAACTCAAAATAAAGTAATATACGATTAAAAGAAATTTAAAAAGTTCATAGAAATTTTAATAGGTCGAATCCCATTTCCATATTATTTAAGTTTATCACGTGTTTTTTCAATACTGGGGGTCCTCGATTAGAGAAGATGTTTTGTTCAAATCGAATCTACTTAAATCGAGGAACCATAGTTTATAGATTTGTATTAAAATAACAAAAACTTTGTATTATTTTTTGAAAATTAAATTGTTTTAATACTAATTGAACGTTAATGGAGAAGAACGTCCACTTGAAAAACGTTCATTTTGAAATCAAATTTGTTTGACTGATTTTTACAAAACATGCGTTGTTTTTAAAAAAATATTTTCCACATTAAAATCACAAAGTTTTAATATTTTAATTTAATTTGCACAAAATGGTACGAGAAAAACAACAATTGATTTAAACTTTGTGAATTTAATGTGGAAAATATTTTTTTAAAAAAAACGCATGTTTTGTAAAAATCAGTCAAACAAATTTGATTTCAAAATGAACGTTTTTCAAGTGGACGTTCTTCTCCATTTACGTTCAATTGGTCGTTCACTTATGACATCCGAAATTAACGGTCATTTTTCTTTGTTCTTTTCTCGCTGAACCCCCCCCCCCCCCCCTTGGACGTCATAAGTGAACTGCCCCTAAGTGAATTAATACAATTATTAAACTCTTTTTAAAGAGCTTCTCATCAAAAATATTTGCAGCAATAAATTCAAAAAGTACTTCAACTTGATTATAATTAGGTTCAAATCCTTATTATTTCGTACCAGAATACATTTTTTTTAAATTTCACAGTTTTTTTCATCATTCGAAAGGAAGGGGGGGGGGGGGGTATAAATCCTAATTGTAATGACCGTCATTTATGATCCCAACAAGAAATTTCTCCAATCTCTTCAAATCTCAAAACTTAACTCAACTCAACTTCATGACCATAATAAAATTCACAACCAGCAATAATTAAAATTCCTATGAAAAAATCAAGACAAATAGCCATCGAACCAATTAATATGAATTTAACAAGCGTGCACAACAGCTTGTGATAATTAAAAAAAATTAATTTAATAATTTATATATTTTTTAAGAGAGTGAATATTGATTTAAATCTCAATCACACACCACATTTATTATATTTTAACCCTCATATAAGTGTACAATTTAATTTATTCATACATATTTCTATCTTGTTTCGTGTCATTTCAGACTTCAATAAGTGATTTCAACGGCAGCGAAAAATTGAATAAAAAAGTCCGAGATAATCCGACATCAGTGTTAACGATACCGCAATAAAAAAAGAGAGCTTGTCAACAGCTAATAGCGAAACTCGGCAGCAACAATTTCTTTTCATTTATAATTTTTTAATTAAATATTTCATCGACAAAATTTAATTTAATTTAAAAAAATCTCTGTTCAAAGAAGAACGTCCAAATTTATCGATACTTGTTCGTTCTCCATCATCGCCTCATTATCATTATACACACCGGCATACAGACGAACAATTTTTTTACCTGAATTTTGTGTACGAAAAGTGAAAAATTAGCATAAACATCATAAAAAGTAATAACAATAACAATAACAATTCCTAATTTCTTGCCTCAAAAAAAAGAAGAGAAGAATTAGTCAGGTTATAGCCGAGAATTTGATGTTGTCGTAAAAACAAAAGTAAGAAGCAAGTTTGACTCCTTCGTATGTGTGTAAATGAATAATTCACAAAATGTATCGAATGCTATTTTATAACCACAACAAGATGTTATTAATAGCTACAATATTATTGATAACGACGATAATCGCAAGAGCTGAACCCTTTGGCGGTTATTATGGATCAAGTTTGAATGTTAATGGTGGTGGTAGTGGAAGTACTAGCAGTATCAGCGACACTATATCACCGAAATGTCCTCGTCTATGTACGTGCACTGGCCACACTGTTGACTGCTCACATCGCGGATTGTCATCGGTGCCAAGGAAAATTCCATTAGAGACCGAAAGATTGTGAGTATTATGAGCTTAAACTTTAATTCTTTAAATACAATTTGTCTGATAACCTTGCGAAAATATTATGAGCCTTACTGCGGTGGGGGTCGTGTGGATGTGATGTCTCAGTGTTTTTTTATTGGAAGCTAGAAAGCTGATTACCTTCATTTTTTCGAAATAATACCCCAAAGAGGGTATCTAGACATTTTCTTGAGTGACATCACTAGCCAACGACCCTCCTCTACCAAACCTTATCGAATTTTAACAATCTAAGATATTATGACCCCCACTTCTCCTTAATATTATAATGATTTACGTTTATTAGCTGCCGCTATCGTGCGACATAAAATTTGCATTAGCTTGACGCGAGCAAGGCAATAAAAAAAGATCGGCAGCAACAGCTCAGCATAATAAAGCACAAAAAAATTTATTTCTTTTCTGGAATTTTTTTTGGTGTTCCACTCACCGAGAAAAAAAATAATTATTAAGTGAAGAAGAAAAATTAAGAAATTAATTGAAGTGCGAAATATCACAGACTGAAAAATTATTAGCAGTGCTTCAAATGCCAATTAGCAATTAGCTACAAAACCGTTTACTTTTCTTTTACACATTTATTTTCTCCTCTTCCTCGTATTCATCATCGCGTATTATCTCTTCTATCTGTGAGTTTAGTATGCAGTTATTTGTGTAAAAATGATTGAGATATTAGATGTTCAGTTTGGATAGGTGATTGGGGCTTTTTGATGTTTTAATTAGATTTCTAAGAAGCTAGGTCGACATGTGGCATGTTAATTGGACTTGCTTCATATATAAATCATTGGAAATATTCATTTATTTGACTTGTAAATTTGATTAATTAAGGCGTGAAAAAACCGTTAAAAAAATTCAAAATAACACGTTTTAAAAATAATTTAAAGGTTCGTTAAATTTCTATAAGAATTCAAATTTAAAAAATCCGTTAAAATTCAATGAACTGATAACTGACAACTTCAAAAAAAAAATTTGTAAACATCTTTAAATCTTCAATTAAGCTGGCATCCACAATCATAAGTTTAACAATTAAAAATAAAAAATAACTTTGTTGCCCACAACCCCCCCCCCCCCCCTCCCAAAAAAAATGCGCCTAAGCTCAATAAATCAAAATCTTCCAAATCTCCTCAATATTTCATATTTCTTTTCTTCTCTTAAATCACACAAAAGAAAGAAAAAACGAAAATGCGAAAGAATGTGCAATGTGCCGTACAAATCAGACATAATCGCGCCATTGATTATTCACCATTGATTTGTAAAGAGAAGATGAAATGTGAAGATGAAGTAGAAATTTTTTTTTAATTCCTTCGGTCTTTTTTTTTAACAATTCATTGGATGTACGTTTATGGATGTAAATTGAATGTCTTTTCTTGCATCTTTTTATATTGTAATGAGAGGGGATTTAAAAATTTTTTCAATTGTAATCGAATTAAGAATGATGATTGATGTTTGTTTTTGGATTTGGAGATTTTGGTTGAGCGGGGGAAATGATGTTTTGAGGAATTTTTTTTAATTTTCTGCAATTTAAAAATGGTTTTTGTCAAATTTTATGTACAGAAATTATAATTTTTTTAAAACTGGTTGTAATTTGCTCAACGTTCTAAGTTCGAATCTCAAAAATTAAAATAAGTAGAATATTCAAAATTTGTCTCGCTTTGCATTCTTCTTTTTGTAAGTTCGATTCTCAATTAACACTTGAAAAGTTCTACGTTCAATCACAGACTCCATAAAGTTCAATCTTAATCTACAATTTTCATTTTCAAATCATCTATTATGCTCTCATAAAAACAAAGACTACACAAAAAATTTATAATCATTAAAAAAGTTCTCCTTATTATCTTCACCGTTCTTTAATTCATCCATTCTAATTTTTCCCTCTAAATGAGTAAATAAATATAAATGTAGCCGAAATAAGAGAAATGGAAGGAAGAAGAAAATGGAAAAGCGTGTAATACCTTAAGGGTGATAATTTTCTTTATTATACGTACATAAAAGAAGGAAAAACAAGTAGAAGAATAATTTTTTAACAACATTTAAAGGAATCCACAAATACATACCCCGAAAATGCGCATAGAAACACATACACACGCAAGATCTAGAGACTATGAATAGTCATAGCTGCGTCTAATAATCAGAAAAAGAGCGTGGGGATGGAAAAAAATCATCATCAGCAGAGGAAACGAAAGAAACGAAACTTTCTTATCAGTAAAAATGAAATGAATGAATGGAGAGAAAGTGAGCACAATAAAATTACATTTTTTCTTGATACTGATCCCGGGGAGTGAATGAATGTAGACATTTGGGGTGTGCACTTATGATTTTGAAGATTTGCATTAAAAAATTCAAAATTAATTAAATTTGACTATAAAGCAGTTTTTGATTGATTGATTGATTTGGTTTTATTATCCCTCTCGGGTAGTTAAGCATAAAAGCTAAGAACATCATACATGTTTCGATAAATATAAAGTTGTTTAGTGAACATTAATTAATTAAAGGCAATACAAATTGCAAATGAAGTTTTTAAAAAATTCTTTGAAATTATATACTTCACAAGAGCTAGCAGAAGTCTTTGTATAAGTAAAGTAGTGTAAACTTTCACAAAAGTCTTAAAACTTGGTTTAGTAATGACATAATGAAAACTAATGATCTTTTTGATATAATCTTAACAAGATTCATAAATCTAAGAAATATATACAATTTTTGCAAGATCAATAATCAAAAAATTTTAAAATTAAAGTTCACAAAACTGAGAAGATTAAAATTCCAGAGTTCAAATCTCAAATGATCTGACAACAATTTCACATTATTTTTGGTTCAATTTTGAATAGTTCTATTAGACCACATAAACTTTCATGCACTTCTCGGTACCTTCCTTCTTATTTTTTTTTCGTCGAAAAAGAAAATTTTTCTCGTCTTCTTAAACACCATAGAATGTGTACTTTTTTTGTATATATTTATCCATCTATCGCATCATGTCGTCATACCAAAGTCTCGTTTGTTGAATGGTGAAAATGTAATTGTTAGAAGAGATGAGAATATTGAGATATAGAAAAAAATAGAGAATTTCACTTGTGTTTGCATGGAATAAATCGTCACGTTATCGCATTATTGTCTCGCACAATCTAATCAGCTACTTGAGCGACAATTTGCTGAGTTGAGGATTTTCCGTCTCTTATAACAATAGAAGTAAGAAGCAGATAATTTGTAGTGGGGATTTGCTTTCTTTTCTCTCCTTTAAAAAAAATTCCAATAAAAGTAAAAATGAAAATTGCTTTGCCATTTATAGTCACTTTGGTCCTTTTCTCGACAAACATTTACGTAGCATGAATAAAAATGTTTCAAAACGACCAAAGAAAATTGACTTTTTCTTTTTCATTTCTTTTTCCTCTCTAAGGGTTATCTGATACTTTTTTACGGCATGTTACATTGGAGACCTTTGCACATACAGCCTATAGTTTTTTCATCACTTTCCAATAAATAGAGAATTTTGTGGGAAATAATAGATGGGGACTAGTCAAAGATCAAGAAAATAAAAATTGGAGAACATTTTATTAGTTTATAAGTAAATAAGAGTAACGAAAATTGAGAAAAGTCATTGGGTGTGAGATGTGGACATGAATTGGAATGGATTGTAATAGGAATAAAATAAGAATCGATTTATATTTTAATCAGTATTTAAATTTTTTGAGTATAAAAGTTCAAAACAGCAATATCTGGCACAATTTTCATTAAAATCTGGCTCAATTCACCAATATATGGTTCAATTCAGCAAGATATTGCTTAATTCAGCTACATATGGCACAATTCAGCAACATATGGCTCAATTCAGCAACATATGGCTCAATTCAGCAACATATGGCTCAATTCAGCATCAAAAAGGTTAATTCAGAAACATCTGGAACAATTCAGCAATACTTTTTTCAGTAAAATTTTTAATAAAACTTAATTCTATTTAAGGAATCTTAAATATTTAAAGCTTAAAGAAGATCCAAAATAAAACTCCACATCTTAAATGAAAGTAAAATTAAACTCGATAATCCTAGCAACAACTTGAACCTTCAATTTATTCACACAATGTATTTTCCTCACTTAAATTTTCTTCTAATCCGTTCATTAGTTTATACTTCAGGTAAAACCTTTGATACTCTTTGATACAAGCTGATTATCTTTCAATTTATTCTTCGTTCTATCTCGAAAGTCACCTTTCAACATCCAATTTTTCTTCTGTTTCTCCCCAAAGAATTTTTATCTAGAAACAAGTCTCAAAGGCACATTTTCAGCACAAGGAACTTTTACACTCACGCACATTCAAAATCCAAATACAATTTTACCTTTTAGAACTTTCTCTATCCCTTGACCACAACATGATAGCTATTTTAAGTATATAAGAACGTTCAAGTATATCATGCAAAAGGCAATCTATGGATGAAGACGAAGAGAGCAAAATTGTCAAATGAAAGGAAAATGAAATGAATAACCAAAGACGAACCTTTTTCTCGTTTCCTTTATTTAAATGTGTGTGTGCGGAAAGTTTCCATGAACTATTATAAGGAGAAAGAAAAACTTTTTATTTTTCATGCCATGGGCTATAAGTTCTTATTTTCCTTCTTTTATCCCTTCACATTTGCTTATAATGTATGTTAAAGCAACACTAGTTTATTGTAAAAATGAATATTTTTGTAAGGATGTGTAATGTGTATACACGTGTTCATGACAAGGATTGGAAGTCACTTAGCAGTAAATTTGAGGAAAATATTATGATATTTTTGAGAAGGTTAATAAAATGTCAAAATTTGTATGCTGAAAATGTCAGGAAAGAAAATTGGTAAGATTGAGTTGGATGGAAAGTTCAAGGGAAAGAATGAGATGATGATAGTTGCTGACTAAAGCAGATTTTTGATTTGAATTTGTGAAAATTCAGTTTATGAAAGTTAAGGTTGTCTTTCATAAAGTGCAAGACATGCTTTAAACCAGAATTTCTGAAGGAAATTCAGCGATTTTTGCTGAATTCAGCAACTTTAGCTGAATTCAGCAATTTTCATTGAAATTTCCACAAAGCCAATACTGCTGAATTCAGCACAGTTCTTATACCAAAAATCTAATTCCTCGCTTATGTAAATCAAATTTTCCATAATTACTAGCTATCCCATAACAAAACCTACCACAATCTATCAATCAAACTAGTTACATCCCCTTAAATCATGCATGTTTGTGACAATTTTCACAACAAAGAGGAAAATAAAACTTTTTACACCCAATCCTCCCATCATCCCCCCTCTATTCAATCACTCAACCAATAAAGAAAAGTAAAAAGAACTATAATTATCTTCCTTTATGAAAACATGTGAAGCGAAACTCAAAAGACGAAAGAAGAAGAGGAAAAAAGCTTCATAAAAATTTATAAAGTGAAACAAAATATGTGTGACATACAGAAATACTATAAAAATTATTTAATTATAGTAGCACAGCGGCAATAGTAAGCTACTACGAAGTCATTTTAATTGAATGCTATGTGTGAACTAATAAAATGTTAAATTAGCCTTTTTTTCTCGATTCCGTGTGTCATATAAAAAACGGGCTTGATTGCCGATCTACAGCTACAAATTTAATGAATGTCATTAAGAAATGTAGAAAAATTTCTTTTTAGAAATGAAGGAACTAATTATTTTACATTTAAAGAGAGACAACATGCAACAATGAAGCAACAAAATAAATCATTTCGTGAAGGGTTTGCCAATGGACTTAGTTTTAAGGGTAGTAAGCAAAATTTCTGCCTCAAATGAGCTTTTGAACACTTGATCTGCTTAAAGAGTGCGTTTAGAAAAAAAATGTGCATTAAGAGTGCGTTTAGCACAACTATATGCCTCAAGAGTGCGTTTAGTAATAATGTCTGCTTCAATAGTACGTTCAGTAAAAAAATTCACATCAAAATTAAGTTTTTGCTCCATAAAAGAATCATTTTGGCCACATCCTGACTCACTCTACCGCATAACAACAATAAATGATGTAAGAACAAGAGAACAACTCCATAAAATTTCCTTTTTTTCATTGTTCCTTCCAAAAAATATAATATGAGGAAAAATATAACTGCGTAGCAATTAGCGTTGTTAAAAGATGAATGAACCAGTCTTCACGTAGGAAAAATTATGAATACAAAGGGAGCAAAGAAATTATTTAAATGAGAAGATTATTGCGCAATCTATTAAGACATTTTTTTTCGTAGTATTTCCATTTATTCATTCTTGATGTGTTGAAATGACTCGTTATCCATACTTTTTTATTAGCTCTATGATGAAAAAATGGCATTAAATATAGAAAATGAGAGAGAAGGAAGGCAAGTAATCATAAAATTTATATGCAATGGCATTATGAGTAATCGATAGAGTTAAAGAAATGAACTGTGTGCGAATAGCGACGGAAATAAATTTCATACTTTTTATGTTCTTTCAGCACTCACAGTACGATATTGAAATTGCTGTATATATTTTTATATTTTCTCGAAGTCTTTTTTCAATATTTCCACACAGTTATTGCTAAGCTTGTGATAGAGGACAAGACAGAATGGAGAGAGTTCTTGGAAGTCATATTTAGTAGATTAGTATTTTGAAAAGAAAGTATGTAGTGTAGTACCCTTTGTGATCGATATTTCATATTCAAGTTTAGTTCAGTACCCCATTTTATTTTCATACTTACTTAATCACCCCTTTTTTCATGGTTAAACTTAGATTAGTACCCCTCAGAACATTTAAAATAGTTCTATTAAGCTAATTGAGGATATCCCATGTTGTTTTATTCTTAGCTGGATATCAACATAGTTGAGTCCCCCTTTATTATCAAAAAACCCGAGTTTGACACCCCTGAAAAATTATGTTGATTACCTCTGATTTTATGCATCTAATTACACGAACTGTCCTCGTTTTCACACTCAAATCCCACTTCAACTAACCTTTTAAAACAAATTAATTCCACTCCATGTCATCTGTCTCAATATTTTGCTTAACTTTATTATTAATATTTTTTTCCATCCAACAACAAAGAAAAAAAAAATTGCAAAAAAATAGCTAGAAATGAAACATTTAAAATAAAATAATAATAACATAAGTTAAAGTCATATCGGCGCGGTAAAGTTAAATTATACATAAATTATTAACATTGAGCCACAATTGAGCATTTAAAATAATTTATATTTCTGCATAAACTTGTTTCATTTTTTCTCATAAGTATAATCGTAGCTGTGCTCGCACATATGAGCATAAATCTTGTCTCTATTTTCAATCAATTATTAAAATGGAAGGAGAATAAGAAGAAGTTTAGAAAAGTCTATTTGTATATTTGCAAATTAACAGACAATTATCCCCGATGTTGTTGAACGTTGTTCATTTATCAGAGCATAAATTATCTATTCAAACTTTTTTTTTGTGTTGTTCATTCTCATTTAACGAGATGCGGCATTGAAACAGGTGTGTTTAATGTTGACTTATTTACTCTCAGGTCTCGTGTGCAAGCACATCCTATCGTTGGACACACTTAAAAACATTTTTATTGCGACTTTTTTTATGACTGCGGTAAAAGAAATTAACCACAAATGTGCTTTTTCGCACTAAACATTTGCATTGTAACACTTATTAATGTATCATTTGAATTACTGAAATTTTGTAGTCAGAATTATGGAAATGAAGCAGGGCGCAGCGGCGGCAACAACTACAAATTTTAATAATTTTCATGCTACACTTTATCAATTCCAACTATTTTGTATATCAAATTGAAATGCAATTTTTTGCAGCATTGCAAATGCTACTAATAAATGGATTTATGGAAAACGGTTTGAAATTGGTCTGGGAATTAATGTTTTTATTGAATTGTGGCGCATTTATGGATAATTGCTTTATTTTCAGATATTTTAATTGCAAGTTTTATTATCTTTTATTGAATTATTCACAATAACATTTAACGGTCAATTGAGATTTTAAATTTAACCCTGAAACACAAAACAATCAGTTGATTCTCCCCTAAAATAGCGATCAAATTATTTTCTCATATTTAAACTTTTTCCTATAATATTTCTAAATCCACGTCATAAATCCACAACACAAGCACCAAAACTGCAAGTTTCACATGGCACAAGTGTGTCAACAACCGAATCTCCTAACCATTTAGTCAAAATAGCCATTAAATCACATTTTGCATAAAAAATTGATCTACAAATCGTTTTTTCTGTCCCATTCCCAATCGATTTGTGCTCGCAAACAACAAACAAATACACACAATTTTGCACAAGCTGTATGCTGCAAGATAGATAAAAAGTGGATTTTAACGATCAAAAAATATTGCAGTTTTTTTGCTGTATATAATTTCAATTAACATGCTGCATATTGAATACTTTTATAGTCAATTGGAATGACAGGCGATATATAGGAATTATTATTAGTTGAGTCAGTTTGCATCATCGAGCTTGTAAAATGCCAAACAACTTATTTTTTCGCATAAATGTATGATTATTTATTATTTAATGATAGTACTTACTTAGTTATTGACACTTCAATTGTCAAGGCTCAGATCGTGATATGAATCAGCGGGTTTCCATTCAATTAATCGTTGATTGATGGTAAATATTTTATTTTACATTGATTAACTATATAAATTTATGAATTATGCTTATTGGATGTCATTATTATTATTATGAAATTTTTGTGATATTAAATTTCTGTGTTTTCAAATGCGGAAAGGGATCTTTGTGAATCCTAATTGAGGAATTTTTAATGTGGCTGTAAATTTTTTAATGGTTAATTAATGTTTTTTATGAATAAATTTTGCTGTGGATTTGAGTTTGCAAAACATTTTATTTAATAAATAAAAGCTTTGAGAAGAGAACTTGGAATTTCAAACAATAAAGTCAAAATAATTATTTTAACGATCAAAAATCACGTGTTTTGGAAATGCAAGATGGCTGACAATTTATCTTCACTTAAAAAAGTTTTTTGCCATTTTCTCTTATGTTTATTGCTAAAATCAAGTAATTTCTTTTGTAATCTACGAAAAAAAGTGGCAAGAGACAGACAAAAAAATGATTAAAGCATAACTTCATGATTAAACCTACAAAAATTAAAAAAAAATATATTCATACTGTAGTTCTTCACTTATGATCCATCAAATCTCTACTTAAACTCCACAACATCTAAACCAAATTAAATGCCAAATCCCTTCTCTCGTCAAAGTCCATTCCAAATAACCTTTAAGCTCTCTAACTGAAATGTAAATCTACTACTCAAGTTGCCCTCATCCGTTTCACATCCCATCACTTATAAATAGCATATATTTGATGAAATCATGATGATGAATGCATCTGCATAAATATGCTAATATCGAAAAGCATTTAACAGCAGCAAAAAACTCTTTTTACACTCTTCACATTTTTTACAGTGCTATTCTAAATGCAAGCAAAACGGCTGGCGTTGTTGTTATTGTTTAAGTGCTTTCAGATGATGATGATGGTTTGAGAGATTATTCATTTCGCATAAATTTTTTTCGCGTCTGTTCAAATTGGAATATGAGAATGCATGTGTTATAGAGAGGAAAACAAAGAATTTATGCAGCATCGAAATGTACAAATGCAATTCATTAAAAATGGTGCTGTTTTTTTTTCTTTCTGTTGTTGCTGTTGATCATCATCATCGTTATTTCTTTTGTATAATTCAGAGGATGAAAAAATTTATATATATTGAACAAAGGGAGTGCGAGAGAGAATTGCATAATTAATAGCCATGCGATATGCAACAACGCTGGTGGTGAATGCTTAATATTCGAATATAAATCAATCTAGATTTTGAATATAAATTCAAAAGGTTAACGCAAAGTTCCTCTCCGCTAGCGGGACCACCCAAAAAAAATTTTGTTTCTGCTGTTTATTAAATTTCAAAGTAGCACTCAATAAAAGCATGTAATTCCATTGATGCCAATATTGAATTAATTTTCGAGATATAATAATAATTATAATATGAGACGAGAAAAAATAATTAAATTAAAAAATTGAGCATGGTAATAGCAGAGAAGCACAGTTTAATGAAATTTTCCAACCCAAAAAACCAACTCTCGATAATTGGGAGCAAAAAGAATTTATTTGCCGAAGATGTCGCTTAAAAGCTTTTTACCATTTCGATATAATTAAATTGTAATAATAATGGCAATAATAATAAAATGTATCTTTCCATCTCTTTCATGTCACCGAAACACAAAAAGAATTTCCAAAGCAATTTTCATTAAGAAACTTTTTTTTTGCTCCATCACAGAAAGTTGCCATTTAATGGCAATCTCCATGGCTTTTATTAATTAAAATGAGTATCAATTCAGTGTCATGTTTCGCGAGTAGTATGAAAAAAATTAAAATTAGATAAAAATCTTAGTGGGAAGATGCTTTGAGACGCAGTTTTAGGAAAATTCAAAATGGCGAACAGATTTTTCACCTGAAAAAGTATTTTAAAAATAATTCTTTGATTATTCACTGAATGTCAACTTAAAGCATAACATTCTAAAGAAAAATGTGGCAAAGACTGAACTTAATAGAATTTAATATTGAATAGCCATCCAAATGTTGTTAAAAAGCAATTTAAACAAATGTTGAAACACGTGATTTAAAATTCAAAATGGCGAACCGTTGTCTCACTTCAAAAAGTTTTTTTCCGATTAATTAGCGACGCAATGAGTGAAAATAAATCAAAATGATCCATTATGATACAAAAAAGTAGCACAAATATCCTTCAATCATTCAAAATTTCTTCTTTTCATACCCTACTCAAATTACAATCAAAATAAAATGACAATCTAGTCAATCCAAAATGAAACTATGACAAAAAATTAATTCTATCAAAAGCAGTGCTAAAACGAACGATAGGAATAGATATGTCGAACGGAAATAACCGTAATTGAATCTGCCTTCCAGCTGCCCAAGCGTGCGCGCTCATATTTTAAATGAATTATAGAATCGGAGATTAAAAGAAGTACTCTAATGATGTTCTCGCATCTAATTACATTTATTTCTTCATTCAGTGGCCCCTTAATGACAATTTGATGTGATACAGTGAAAAAAAGGGCAAATTTAAAGAAAAAAAAAAAAATAAAAAACATAAAGTCATCATAAGCATACAAAGTAAATTATTCAATTTGTCATTTTTTTCGTGTACGCGCTATCCATCTTCACTTCCTTCAAGCAGCACGCTTTATTTCGATGTTAAACAAGCACGAGACACATTTTTCACGTTCCACAACCATTTTTCTCTCTTTGGGATCACTATTTGCAATGCGATATGCTCCTTACATTCTGTTTTTTTTTTCAACGTAGAAAAAGGTTGAACATTAAACAATTTTGGAGGTGGGTTGCGAATGAGAAAAAAGAAAGGAAAAAAAATTCAAAACATTTTATGACTTGCTGTGAGGGAAATTCTTCTCCAACCTCTATTTTCACGTTGGGACACGACAGCAAAAAATAAAAGTTTTGTGCCTGTCATTTTTCGGTGTCTTCATGTTCATCTTTATGCCATTTTTTTCTCATTTTGTTGTATTATAAATATGCTCTTGAATGACTCTAAAGTTCTTCAAAATTTGTAATTTCTCCCTAAAGTCTAGTTATGAAGAACTTTTTTTTACAACTTAATATGTGAGTTTTATTGGTTGACCTGAATTTTTCATTCTTTTTTCCGTACATTTTTAATATTATTATGCTTTTTGGACGGGCATAAAGATAAAGAATATTTTTTTAACAGGCAAATTTATGGAAATGTTGGAAGTTTTGGGGGATATTTTTACAACTTTTAGAATAGCCGTTGTTATTAGCAATTTTGGAGTTTCTTAAAAGCTAATGTATTTTTAAATTGAACAATTTTTTGAAATTCAAAGTTTAAGAAAAGAAAATTGCTCATTAATGAATTGAAGAAATTAAAAAATGAATAAATACACGACGAAAGTTCAAGTTCGAATCTTAAAATTTAAACGAAAAAATTCATAAATGTTCCTCGTTACCAAAACCGTTTTTCTTTTTGCAAATTAACTTTTTGTACTTTCAAACTTAAATCAAAAATTCAAAATAAATTATTAAAAATCAAATCCAATCATAATTCCATCCAAACACCAGCCGGCTTCTCCAGAACTACTTAACCGTCAGTCAAAAGATGATAAATGATTCACAAAACTTCATCCAATTGGAAAATAATTTCTTCTCTTTAATCTTCTTTACTCATTTTCATTAAAATGATGTATTTTTATCACTTTAAGTGGATAGACTCTGTATATCATTATTATTAAAGTAAATACCAACTCATTCACATTACTCGTAATGGGTTAATTAAGAGGAAAATTTATAAACATATAAAAGTGGGTTAATAGACTTTTCCATTATTATAAATTATATGAACGTGATGGGAAATATTGAAAGTCGAATGCTGGAGATTCACATTTGTGATTTATTTAATTTGATTTTTTTTTGCATTATTCATTGATGCTACTTTATATGAAAAATGTAAGATTTGAGAATTTTCCGTCAAAAAAGCAGAGATCGAAGCCGATTTTTTCGGCTTAACTCAATTTTTGATTTTTTTGATAGAAAAAAGCCATTTAACACCCATTTTAAGTATTTAAATTGAACTTTACATGCTTTACTATGATTCTGTGAAATATTTTTTCAGCATGTAGCTATAGTGAGCTCAGAATTTCAAGTTAAAGAATGTTAAGCCGAAATTTAAGCCGATCGGCTTAAAATCGGCTAAATTGAAATTCAGAGCTTACTATAGCTACATGCTGACAAAATATTACACAGAATCATAGTAAAGCATGTAAAGTTCAATTTAAATACTTAAAATGGGTGTTAAATGGATTTTTTCTATCAAAAAATCAAAAATTGAGTTAAGCCGAAAAAATCGGCTTCGATCTCTGCAAAAAAGTAAAGAGTTTTGAATGAGATTCGAACCTGCAACTTTCAGCAAAAAAGTAAAAATTTCAAAACTCCAGAAAATAATAAAACGACAAATTGCAAATAAGAATTCCTCAACAAAAAATCCAATAACATCACAAGACATATTTCAAAGCCACATATCATCGCAAATTCCAAGCAACAATGCCATAATCCGAATATTGAAATCCATCTCGTATTCAAATTCTACCTTCACGTACGCAACGAAGGAAGTTATTAAAAAATTCATTTTTCCATGTCATTGTATCCCGTAAGAATGCGAGTACACAACAAAAAGGGACAGAAGCAACAGCAATAAGAACAAGATGTAAAAAAATTTTAAGAAATAAGTTCAAATGATGGAATGAGAATGCTCAATTCATAATATTATGGCGCGTGTATGTCGCATTTATCTGTACAGTATGTATGTACATAAATATAAACAGCACTAACTTCCGTTTGCATCATTTTTCATCTCTTTAATAATTTTAATATTCAAATAATGTCGCCAATGCTTCCCATTTTTGCTGCTACGCGATATTTTCATAGGTAATTTAATTTTACTTTCTTTCCATCCTCTTATTCTCATTTATTTTTCTTCTGCTATTTTTCTATGGGAGTTGTCGATAAGGAACGTTACACTTTCAGGTGGTGGGGGTCTACGATGATGAAAACTGTTCTGAAATATATTAAATGGAAGTTTTGTGATTAAGTGAGTCAGAGGACTCAGTATTTAAATTTGGTCTAAAATTAGACGTCATTTATGAATACGCCGAACGCCTTTGACAAAAAAGAAATTGCCGTGCGTGAAAAAATTGCAAGAAATTTTATTTTTATTCATAAGCGATTCACGGAAAAAAGAAATTAATTTTTAACACATTTAAAAGAAGCATGAATGCCTCCCTTTTGTGGTGATTTGGGGAAAGAGAATGATGTGCATTAAATTTTGAGGTTATTCAACTTTTTTTGAGGGTTGTCAACTTTTAATCTTTCAAATTTTTTTCATGCCAAAAAGTCCCCCCAAAATCACTCCAAGGATCTCCTCTCATGCAGCTCGCGTGTTCAACACGAAATAAAATTTCCATAATTTTGTGAAGATTTCGCTGCTACTTGCATGAAATGAATATGTAAATTAAGCGGAATTGCTCTAACATTTTTCTTCTGTTCCTCAAAAAGCCAACAAACTCAATTTTAGTAGAAATCTTGCATCTGGCTTTTCTTATTTCCATTTTAATCGACATTGAAGTTTCAAGTGAGAGGAGAGTATTTTTAAAATAAAAAAAATTTCGTAGAAAAAAGTGCACTTCAAATGAATATTATGCTTGAAGTGTTTAACATAATTTTTTATTGCGAACGTCGAACGTGGATGGATAAATGAGAGAACAAGTTTCCAGTTAGAAAACGGAGTGAATATGAAAAAAAAATAAAAACAAATTGAAATGAAAGAAGAAAACGTTTGGCAAGTAAAGAAGTCCATTATTGGTTTGAGGGTTAAAGCGCATTTTTATGGATCAACCCTAAGATGTCAGGCT